GGTAAGTACGACAACACGCTCGATGATCGACTCGGAGAGTCTGTGCCCCTGTGGTGTACTAGGTCCTCGTGATCACCTTGTGTCGACTCTGACTTAGTACAATTTGTTTTGTGCCATACAGCTCAACAAATTACGCACCTGAGTGTGAGAATATGACTCGCTGGTTGCGACGAATGTTAATGCGGCATAGGAGTGCGAAGTTATTACAGCATACCTCCACATCGAAGTCGTCACATTGTTCACGAGGCTCCGGCACTTCCTCGTCGTCATCCTCCTCCTGTGATTGGGTGCCCTGTCTTTCTTCGCCGCTGTCACCGAGAGCGTCTTCAATGTTGGCAGGAGTAGCAGCCCGTGGAAGAATACGAGCAAGAGGCTGGGAGCGCATAACACTAGACTCTTGTGACTTCGGGCGAAGTGGCGCTGACCTAGTAGCGCCGGAGGACTTGACTCGGATTGGCTTCGCAATTCGGATGTCTGTTCCGGAGTCCGAATCATCGTTAATGACTGCAGGTCCATGTCGCCTAGATTCTATGCAGAGGGGATCATTTGATGAGCACGGGGACCATACTCAAGTATCTGCTATCGCGATCATTGCCCACGGACTGCAACTTACTTGAACCATCAGATTTGACGGAGCGCACAACTTTGGCCTTCTTCGGCTTGTGGCGCTCCGACACTTCCTCTTCAGCGCGATGACCGACCAGGCCACCTCTCTCAACTACAGACTCCGCTCTCTTGCGCTTTTCCTTGTCCGGCTTCGTTGCAACTACTGCTTGCATAGGCTGGTAGGCGTTTGCTGGATGCAAGGGTGAGTCTACACAGTTGGAGTAGGATGTGTATGCGACCTACACTTATCGGTTGACTGCTCCGAAGAATCAGGTTTTGGTTTTGACGGCGCACGACTCTTTGGGATCATCGACGCCCACTCTACATCATGATACCGAATAGGTGAGTATCATACCACAACAGGTGTCTGCGTGATATTCACTTTTCGAAGCACCCTGTGAAGCAACACGGCTAGGGCGTCCAGCTGTACACGATGAGCGCGAGCTGGGGTAAGTAGATCCAGCTATTGTACATTGGCGGACAGCTCACACAAAGGAGGATTCTCTTCATTATCAGGATCGTGCTGGACCATGCCCATATCCGCGGTTGACTTCCGACCAGCTCGAGGGCCACGGTGCGTAGCGGTTGACATGGTAAGCTGAAGCCTTCGAACACGGAACGATTGTTGATGTGGATGATATGAATAGGATAGCGAGGTACCAGCAGGACAGCAAAGGAACAAGACAGCGAAGGAACAGGTCGGATAGCGAAGAAACAGGACAGCGAAGAAACACTGGCAGGACAGCGACGTAACAAACCAAACCGAAGTACGGTCGAAGGGAAGGAACAAGGGCACCAAACGGGATCTGCTGGCACCCGTTGACATGTGATGTAGCGGGTTGTGAATGTGCAAAATATGCACGGCCACTAGCGAGGTCGACCGTGTGACATTCCCGTACGTTCAACTCCTACCTTCGCAAGTGCCGAGTGTCAACACATTTCTAGCTAGTCATTCAGCACTCTGTACTCACGCTTCTATACTTTGGTGAGTGTCATAGCCGTCTTTTGACCCTACTGCGCAACTCATTTGTATTTACTTCAGGTATTGATCAATCGACCTCGCTATGCCATACATCTGCAGCGGCTGCGCATCCTCTTTCACTGGCCATGGCGCCTTCATTCGACATCTACAACAAAGTACCCTGGGAGCTTGTCAGCTCGCACGTCAACGACACGAGGATGCTATGCGCTATCCAAGTCGCCGAGATAGTCATCGACGGGCTGCGCGTTCACGGTCGCAGTCGAAGCATGGGGACCGAGATCGAGAAGACGTGGATATGCATTCCACAGCTGATGCTCCACACGATGAAGACTTACCAGTTGCATTTGAGGGAGACTACTTCGGAGCTGCTGGTGAGTATGCTGCTGGAGACCTTCCCTTTGACGATGGAGATGCGGATGTGGACGCGAGCACCGACGCAGCAACCTGTCGGCATGATGACGAGTCGGGCGGCAACTCGGACAGTGACTCTGACGATGAAGACGTTGGTCAAGACCTCACTGAGGTGGCTACAGCCCTAGGCGACGATCTTCCGCTCGATCCTCCAGTGCACCACGCCCCGTCTACTGCTATGGACATCGACCCTGTCCCGGGCCCGAGTCCTCGGGCATCCCCGACGCGGCCGCTGCCCCTGGTGGCATACATGTCGACGCGCATATTCAGCTCCGCCAATCTCCCGCCTATGTAGTCCCATTCGGCGGTGAAGCCGGGAAAACTTCGACGCCTCCTGTGGGTCAACCTGCACGTTCGGGATATGAGACCTATGCAGACGAGGTTGATCCTAAGGATGATAACTTGTACGCGCCCTTCGCATCTCGCGTTGATTGGGAGATTGCCCAGTGGGCGAAACTGCGTGGATTGGGGTCGACGGCTTTCTCTGATCTGCTCGCTATAGAAGAGGTAAGTCGGCAACAGTACCATGAACGTTTGACTTATGTGACTTACATTTGCTGGAAGGTTCGCGAACGACTGGTCTGTCATACAAGAACGCGGATGAGCTCAACAAGATTATCGACAACAAGCTGCCGAATCGTCGGCCAGCGTTCCATCGTTTTGAAGCTTGTGTAGGCGACGAACAATTCGCGATGTTCTGTCGTGACATCTTAGAATGTATTGCTGCTCTCTACGGTGATACTGAGCATGCGCGTACATATGTGTTGCTCCCGAGCGCCACTATGCCGACGCCGACTGTACCATCCGCCTGTACCATGATCTACATACGGGACAGTGGTGGTGGGCAACTCAGGTAAGCTAACAGCCTCGATAGCAAATCTAGTGCTAAAATCACATACAGAAGCATCTGGAGAGCGAGATGCCAGGAGCGACAATCATCCCAGTCATCTTATCATCAGACAAAACCCAGCTGACATCGTTCCGCAACAAGACTGCGTACCCAGTCTACCTTACGATTGGGAATCTGCCGAAGGAGATTCGAAGGAAACCATCGCACCGAGGACAGATTCTCCTCGCATACCTCCCAACCAGCCGGCTCGAGCACATCAAGAATAAGGCAGCTCGCCGCAGGACCCTCGCGAACCTCTTCCACGCCTGCATGTCGATGGCGACTGAGCCTCTCCGTGTCGCTGGCGTTGACGGTGTCCCTATGGCAAGCGGAGATGGTATTGTCCGGCGCTGCCACCCGATCTTGGTGATCTACGTTGGCGACTATCCGGAACAGGTCCTCGTGACGGGGACCTACACTGGAGATTGTCCAATCTGCAAATGCCCTCACGACGAACTTGGTACATACCCTTGCCCATACGACTATCGCAATCTCGACGAAGCGCTGGATGCACTCGCTTTCGCGGGGACTGGTGAATACAACCGTGCTTGTGATGACGCCGGCATCAAGCCAATCCAACACCCGTTCTGGGAAGGCCTACCGTACGTCGATATATACCGCGCAATCACGCCCGATATTCTTCATCAGTTACATCAAGGCATCATCAAGCACCTCCTGGCGTGGCTGACGGATATCGTTGGCGAGCACGAGATTGACGCGCGAGTCAAACGTCTTCCCCCGAACCACAGCATTCATATCTTCCAGAAAGGCATCTCTGGTCTGACGCGCGTGACAGGAACCGAGCACAAGCAAATCGCTCGGTTCATTCTTGGACTTGTCATCGACGTACGTCTGCCGCACGGCGAGTCAACGGAGGATTTGGTCAGCGCAACAAAGTCCCTCCTCGACTTCCTATACATGGCTCAGTATTCGGTCCATTCGAGCACGACGCTCGACGCGCTTGAACGCACACTATCTGACTTCCATACGAAGAAGTCTATCTTCGTCAGCCTCGGTGCGCGTGGCAACTTCCTCATCCCAAAGCTCCATATGCTTCTTCATTATGTTCGCGCGATCAAGCTCTACGGTACGACCGATAACTACAACACCGAAGCAACAGAACGCCTTCATATCGACTTCGCAAAAGAAGCCTATCGCTCGACCAACCATAAGAACGAATTCCCCCAAATGACAAAATGGCTCGAGCGCCGCGAAAAGGTCTTGCAGCATGCGCAGTACGTCAAATGGCGCATTCTCCACGCGGAAGCTCAAGCAGACCCTCGTCGTACGGAACCTGAGCCCGCCGCTGCCGATGAAAAAACACGCTGGCGGCCACCCGATATGGCGTGTCCGTTGTATCACCACATGACAAAGTGGCCTACCCGCAACGCTGTACCTATCACCGAGCTTGTGGCTCCTTCGGGGTACGGCGCGACGCACCTCATGCCGGCTCTGGCTCGTTTTGTAGTGGAGTTGAATGCACCGACATTGACGAAGAACGAGGTTGAACGGCGAGCTGCCAATCTCACATTCCCTTTCCAGGCCCTCCCGGTGTACCACAAGATCAAATTCCGCAATATGGAGTACTACGGCAATGAAACCCTCGATTCAATTCATGCACAGCCCCTACGAGTAGGGTCACATGGCAATGTTCTCGCTCATCCACGCTTCGACACAGCACTTGTTCGTGTTCAGCGCGATACTGGTCAGCCTCGCGCTCGTTTACAGGGTATGTCTTCCTACTATGTATCCGGCACTTTGAATACTGATGAATTGATTGTTGCCGCGGTGATAGATACACGCATTGGACAAGTGCGAGCGGTCTTTTCGTTGCCACAAAAATACCTGCTACGGCTCTTCCCGACACTCACTCAAGTCCCACGGCATCTAGTGTACATCGAATGGTTCTCGAAATTCACGGCTGAACCTGACCCACGATATCAAATGTACAAAGTACAGAGATTGACGGGTAACGCGAAGATAGCATCTGTTGTACCACTTACTCTACTTGAGCGCAGCGTACACCTCTTTCCAAAGTGGGGCGGACCTGTTCCGAATGCCTGGCAAAGCACGAACGTTTTGGACGAATGTACGGCCTTCTATCTTAATCCGACAAAGGACTCACATAGCTACTATAACCTGTATTAGAGCGAATCATAAAACTGTTGTTGCACATTGCCCGTGTTCTCTGTGATATCGATAATGTGTTCAGAATAATCTTCCATTGTTGCGAGTCCGTACAATATTGGTACATTATGCATATTGGCGCGAATTACGGAAATAGGGTTTTCCTGATGTAGGCGAATCGGTAGCAAAAAGTGAGTATCTTACCTTGACGAACGAATGGCGACTGAGACTGTGAGACACTAAAGGAAGTCTGCACGAGGTGTCAGAAAGAGCACAGAACGAGAAGAGCAGGGGATACTGGCATACAGGTAACAGGGCTGAAAACAACTATGGGACAGGCAGTGAGCTGTCGCCTGATCGTCTTTGACAGTGTCGGGAAGCACATACTGGATATATTGGATTGACGAGTGAAACAGGCTGTGTAGAACAGGCCTATAATCACAGTTCCAGTAGAAATTTTTCGACGAAGGAGTGAGCGACTGTAAAATTTACAACTGGGTTGAACAGCCCGAAAGGTCTTCGCACGAAGGGCAACAAACCTCAATCAATGTTGGAGAGACAATTCTGGGAGAGTGCAGGAACGACGAAGCAATGAGAGGAGGTGGCTTGCCGACTGAATGGCAAGGGTGTGAGCAGACGAAAAGAACGACGAGAGTATAGTGGGGAAAGAGCGAGTGGGCACCGTCGGAAGGTGAGGCCAAAACCGAACTTGCCCTCTATGGCAAGTCTGGCATAGGCCATGGCGACTCGGCCTATGGCAGACCTCGCTATGCATCGGGTTCTGCTCTCATATTGTACTGTATTCCTGCTGTCTTCAATTTGATTCGGGCACAGGTATATGGCAGCAGTACGAGCAGCAGTCGCCACCCTTCTATCCAAAGACTGACATCGTGAGATCCAGCTCGACGAGCATCTCCATCGGGCTACTGCAATTCAAAACCTCCTGGAAGACGATGCGACAAGGTCAGCAAATAAGTACGACAAGTTATATACAGAGATGTACTTACAGGGATTACTTCGGCATGCAATCCAGGTCGGGGAGATACAGACTCTCACCACGAGCCTGTGAGTAGTTCTGCTGGCCTCGGCCAGCACAACCAATCCTCGATGGACAGGGTCAGCATAAATAATTTCATTCGGCATTTGCTCACAGATGACTGCTCAGGATTGAGCGATTACGATTGGCTTCTTCACACCACGATGGATATTACCATTTTGAAGCGAAGAAGCCAGCCATATCGAGCTGTGAGGCTATTGTAGCAGCATGTACAGTGGAACATCAATTACCATCGGGAGGAACGACAGCCTAGAACAGTCAGAGTCGACACGGAAGTCACAACATCGCTCAAAACACACCTTGGAGGTACTTGAAAGTGTGAGTGACTTGCCTCCCCTTATTCCGAGCCCCAGACATCCGAGCCATTCACACAGCCTTGAAGCTGTTCTGCTCGTCAAACCAAGGATTGGCACACCGACCAGCGACAGCCAGAGCCTGGGGGGATCCTGGGAGGTGCTATCAGTGAGCCACATCAATGACTCGGTGCGAAGAAGCAGTGGCAGTGCGGCTCGGGATCATCCGCACGAAAGAAGCACGAACTCTCACCGCATGTACGACTCGGATCCACTGATCTTGGGTGTAGCATTGCTGAGTGTCTGTGGGAACATTTACTGCTGTATACAGGGGATGGTCGTCTTCGCTATCCGAGCGGGCGTAGCGGAGCCCGTTGACTCGGTGCGAGTGCGGCGCCTCCGAGTCGGAGGCTATGACTCGGTCACTCAGATGTACGTCAAACTTTGGACTCCGAGTCGCTCGTGATCTACCGCCCTGACACTGGCACAGATTGGGTGCAGCGCGACTGCGGTACCACTCGTCACAAAATACAGTCGTTATTGTCGTACTAGTAGGCTCGTAGTAGTAACGAAATGCCAGCCAGTCGTCACCCGGAGAGAATGAGTTTCGCATGGACTATGTACAGTACAGATAATGCAATCAATAGCCCGACTGTCAAAACATATCCATATACTGGCTCTGGAGGTATGCCAATGCATTCACCCAGCAGGCTGCTAGACTTGCTTGATCTGCATGAGCCGACCACGGCTCAATCGCCTGTGCTAGGACACCAATGACTCTGTCCAAAGCATCAACTCCTGGCTCCTCGGGAGGTTCAACCTCGACCTCGTTCAGCCGCTCGGGTGGACCAACCCTACCAATCCATGACGATGCACCATCGGTTTGGGTGTTGTTCTGATGGTAGGCACGCAAAAGACGATCCTCGCGTAGTGCCTCCCAGTCGACACCATACACCTCCAGCTCCTCCATAGTCTGAGCTTCATCGGGCAATTGATCTCCACGTACTCCATGAACGAGCATGTCGAAGACGAACATGTCTATGGGCGAGCGATTGGGCCCATCTCGGATTTGGATTCGGTGGTGGTTCCAACCATCAGCGAAGAAGGCAAGCTCGTCATTGATGCGATCGAGGAAGAGCAGATGTAGGAGCCAGATGTGATTGTCGTTGTTGAGATCAAGGCCATAATGAACCTCGAGTGTCGTGAAAAATTCCGCCCACTTTGCACCGACTTGTGCAGTGACATCGACCCAGAGACGCTCGATGCGAACATTGTGGATGCTCCTATAATTCCATGCGATGTCATTCACGAATCACAATTTGAAATCCCATCCCTTAGATAGATGCCTTACCTGCCCCATATGTACGAGCCCCGTCGCTCACCGCGGTTCGCTTCCATCCATGCAGCAACAGCCAGATTCTCTACACCATGATCGCCACGTACACGGGAAGGTACCCCAAAGATCTCTGCTCCAGCAAGGAACAGCTGGAGAACAGTAGCTGCACGATTATTGCCATGTGCCCGTAGTGCAGTTATGAGACGAGAGTAACCATCTATAAATCCGTGGATTACGATCTTCCAGCGGATAAGGCCTAATATATCCAGTCATCGTCAGTACAGTCATGTAAGAGCCCCAAAACACTGGTGACCGAACACACCATGCTGGCCGTCATGATGCCATAATGCATTTGGACCGGCCACCTTGTATTTTCGGCGTCGTATGCGAATACGCTCAAAGGTCCGGTGGATAGGGTCAATGCGGGAAAGGGAAGATCGTATTCGCTGACGAGGTACACGGTGGCCGAGCTGTCGCAGCATTCCATCCAGCATCGTGATGCCTGCACGGGGATAATGCATGCGAAGCTGCTTGAGGAGGTCATCAAGCTGGGCATCGGTCAGGAGGGTTAAAGGACCGGTAAAAGACGAGATATGATCCGCATATTGGCCATCGCCCATCATAGCAGGCCCATCCATGTGAGCTAAGGCTTCAGGGAGAATCGGGTCTAGTAGGTCATCGTGATCATCTTCCGACACCTGGATTGGTTCGGCCGAGAGATCAGATGTGGGGAAGGGATTTTGCTGAGGTTCGGCGATCTGGTATTCCAGTAGAGCATTGCGGACTGTTGATCGCCCGACATTCAAGAAACGAGCGAGGCCTGCAATCGAACGATGCTGATATGCCCACTCTAGCCAAGTCGGGTCGATTGTGATCCTAGGCCGACCAGGCCGACCAGTTTGAGCCCGTGTCACAATTTCAGGCCGACCGTGGTGAGACTGATCCAGGGCTTCGCGGTACTGCAGACGGATGTCGTACAGCATAAGACCGACACCATTTTGAATGTGGCCCAGTTCACCTGGAGGGAATGTCGCTGCATGCTGTTCCACGGTGGTAGGTGAGATCAGTAACCTCACCTGATTGTATCATGACCGCGACATACCTCGGTGACGAGCTGCCCAAACTGATTGAGATCATCTCCAAGGCGCTCGAGTACTGTCGAATCTGTCGGATTCGCAAGGGCAGTCTCGACTGAATGGACATATCCATTGAAGCGGTGGTAGAACTCGCTTAACAGCGACTGTGGCCCGCGTCCAGTAGCATCGTCACTCATGCTTCCATGCTAAGCTACTAGTGTGAGTGCAGAACCCGGAGGGACAGATGATGCTAACTTACAATGGCTGTGTTGCAAATTATTGCCTCAGAGTGTCGGAGAACGAGATGTACAACACAGTGGACAAGTGTGACGATGACCAGGAGTGAGCAATGACGAGGACAGCGAGTCAAGCCAATCTGATTGATTGATCCTCGATGTGCTCTGAGGCTTACCGCACGTCAGGCCGAATTTTTGCGCAGGATGTCTAGGCTGGATATCCGACAGATAATGTCATGAAAGTATCGTTATTCGTTATGTTCTAGCGCATTTAATGTAACGTGATACATGTTGAGACTACATTCCTTGGCCTGTCTATGCTGCTGGAGTATAAGTCTGAGGACTGCTTACAGCGTACAGTGCCGGACAACCAAAGGCAACAAATTTTGTAGCGCCCGATCGGAATAAATTTGGGGCAAACTGACTGCAGGAATGGACTCAGGGGGGCGAAATACGCACAAAAATGGTCTTCCGAAGTTTTTCCCACGAAAAATTGGGTTGGCCAATATTTTGAGGTCGTTCATCGGCATATTAGGCGCCCTACAGGGTCTCATATCGCGATGTTTGGGGCAGCCTGACCACGCAGCAAGTCCATAAGTGACCTGAGAACGCATATCTTGTGTAGACAACTTAGTTAGCAGCAGCAGTAAGTAGCATGAATCAAGAGGTCGGTGGCCTGGTCAAATCGACAGTAAATAGTTGATAACTTGACTGACCTGCTATAAATGGAGACGCTATCATTCGCTTATTGACATACTGCAAACATACCAGTTTCGCCGCGGCACGAAATCGCTCAGATCAGATATGTCCGTTCGGGCTTGGGTACGACTTCAAGCATATGCCAATACCAGTATTGCACAATGTGATCAACAGTACTTACAAGTAATCCGGTGCAACAACATCGTGATTGTGAAGTGTTAAGCACTATAGAACGAAGCAAATGCTATCTGCAAACGGTCTAAGTGCGAATACAGCATGCCAAGACGAAGCGAACTAATCATATCCCACGAGCGGCAAGTCACTAGCGCCGAGACTTCAGGAATTTATTGAAGCACCGGAACTTTTGGTATTGCCACGATAATATGGGATCATACTCCTCTCATCAAAAGGAGTCGATTGGCGGTTTTTCGGCGGTTTTTGGACGAGATTTAGGGGTTGGCCAATATTTTTGGGGTCAAAACTAGTATATTGACTTTTATGGGACAACGGCTCGATGGATTTTGCTCGGAGGTAGCTCAAAATGTTCCTTGAGCCTATCTGCATCGTTTCCGATGACTCCGGTGCGCGGGCAAAACGGTCGACAAAATTTGTTGCCTTTGGTTGTCCGGCACTGTACATAGCAGTGAGCTTCCCGGAACAGCACCATGCGGAACAATCGCACATTAATAGCCGTCCCACAACTCATGCTACCAGACACTACCCTGCATCATGTGCTGTCGAAACACCGTCAACCCACAGTGGTGCGCAGCCACCAACGGTCACCTATGCCCGCGCGAGTAGCCGAGTAGCAACAATCGCAGTCGCGCCCGCGATCAACTCATACCCACTACTCAGTGTCAGCACCCAGGAAACAGCGGCACCAACGTGACGTGTTTTGCGTCTGTTGCCGTCAAAGGGGCCACACTGGCCCAATGGCATTTGACGATGTCCTAACGTTGCAAGGCGATCTGTAGACCCAGAGGAAACTCACCGTACCCCTGCACGATGAGCTGTCTCTCGTGTTGACGCGATAATCCACCTTCGCCCGGGCATAGTCCTGACGCCCTCGAAACGCCGCCGATACAAAGGACACACCTTCCCTCCCTGAATCTCATTGACATAAGTCGATTCCGGGGCGATCTGCGCAGCACCACGCCGCACCACCTGTACAGATCGTCGTCTGGCTAACCTACCTTCGCACCGGCCTCTGCACACTGAGGCACACAGAACCATCGACAATCAGCCCGCCACTGGCAGCGCATGCACATGCAGACGGCCTGGCGCGAGCGAGGCAAGGAGTGTGGCTTCCCCGATGAAGACAGGATCGATGGCCCGGCGGCGAGCTGACTTGGACAGGGTGGATGAGGGAGACGTGGAACGGCACGCTGTGGGATCAGGTGAATGTTGTGTGTCCTGGTCGAATCGAGGCGACGATGCTTACCCAATCTGTTGTGTTTCTGTTCAGTGTCTGCGCTTCGTGGCTCCAAAATACGCCAAGGGTGTGGACGACCGGAGTGTGCAGTGCGTAGCGATTGCGTGCGGCGGCTTGCGGGCCCCAGTGAGGCAGTTTGTGCTCCCCGGTGCACCTCTCGGGCTGGCCGAACTGTTTTCCGGTGGCCGACCTGTTTTCCGATGAAGCCGGGCATCCGTCATAGAGAGGACCGATCGCCGTCCAGCGAGCGACTGTCAATGGCCGAGGTGGAAGCCGCAGCAGCCGCGGTTGAGTCGATGCGCAATGATCGCTGTGAGAAGTTCGGGGGCGGGAGTGTCGAGGATGGGGAACACAGCGGGATGGCAGAGGCAGAGAACCGGCATCGAGGCGAGAGTGCATGCTGGCACATTGACAGCACGTCTGCCGCGTTATCAGATGGTAAGTGCGATAGACGTGAGTTTCTGTGGCTGCGGCTCACCACGTCGACTACAGACGACGCACGAGGAGGGAAGTAAGGAGGGTGAGAGGGGCACTACTAGTAGGTCAGTAGACGGGAGCGTCGGAGCGAGGGATGGGCGCCCAAACGCAGAACACGTGCTGGGAAGCATGGTAGAAGAGGAAACTTGAGGTGTCGCCAGGCCTTGAGGGAGTGAAATGGACTCTAATCACACTTTCTGCTCGGGCTCAGCACATGCGAATGAGGATGCTCGCGACGGAGCGAGTGCACAACATATGGAATGAGGCTGGCAGCGACTCGGTCAGGTGGCACTGCTGAATACGGTAATACCTCGGGCATGTCTCGGCATTGCCCCAGATGGCCGTAGCACCGACATCTCCCTAAAGCCTAAGTATTTGCATGCAGAGAAATCAGTAATATCGCAGGCCACAGTGTCGTGAGCTGCAGATGAATGCCTGAGACACATGTATGGCCAGTAGGCTCATGTAGGATGCTGTACGGCCCTGTACGACCCCCTTCACAAGGTCACCGAGGGGTCACCGAGGCCTATCACATGACCTGAAACCTCGCACCTGAACCTCACACCTCGAACCTCGAACCTCACATGCACACCTCGAACCTCGTAACTCGCATTGCAGTGCTAGATGCCAGTGTTCGGGCGTATACATCGTACCTGAGAGACATGGCTCACGCGGTCGGACCTCGTAACTCAACCTCAAACCTCATCTGTAGACCTCGGCTGAATCTCGGACCTTACAGTGTGATCGTAGCCTTGAACCTGAACCTCGTGCGAAAATGGCTACGTGAACCTCATTCCTGCGCGAAACCTGCTACCTTGCGAGTGAACCTGGCCGAAAACCTTGCGGGGCAACCTCGATCTCAATAAATAACGAAAAATACATTCATAGGTAACGGACGTAGAGGTCGCGTGACCGTGTTGTCACAATCATGTGAAAAGGTCACAGCGTGTCACCATCACACCGATGGCCCCGAGGTCGCCTGAAGCTTGCTCGAAGGTTAAGCCACAGGCATTCTTCAACTGTCATCAGCTCCCTCCCACAAGGCCGAAGCGCGGTGGATTGGATTCGGCCAGCGGAGGTATGTGAACAACCAATGATTCTGAATAGGTCTCATAAGAATTGCGCGGGAATTGTAGCGTGTGATCGACGCGGTCGCACTGCACAACTGAGAAGGTTACCGACTCTTTGTCTTCATCCTCACTTCACCTCAACCATCCTCAACAACAGGACCTCTTTGACTTTGCTGCATACTGACTGCTTTGGGTTCCGAGACCCGTCCTTTCGCACCAACCATCATGACGACCGAACGAGCTCTTCCTACCCCACCCGTGCAGTCTCCGTCACCATCCAAGTTCTCATTCCCATCTCCTGGCAAGGCTGACCCGAAGCTGAAGCACAATCCTCACCCGTACGCCGTCAAGACTACGACGAGCGCGCTCCTCACGCGATCGAACTCATCCGGACATAACGAAGCGACTCGCCACTACTACGTTCCCCTCTCTCCGACGGCGAGCCGGAGCCCAGAAAGCGCGAAAAGTCACAAGATATCCAAGTCGCTAAACGCCGTCGCAGAGTCTCCGAGTCGATCGCCTCGCCCGCTCCCTGTGCCGCCGATGTCCATGTCCGCAAACACGTCCCCAGTCCACAGTGCCGAGCCGAGTCTGTCTGGCTACGAAGCGGATACGTCCTTCCCCCGCCGCACGAAGCGCGCTGATACCCTGCCGACGTTCCCATCGACCGCCGAGCCGTCCCTCGAGCTGCTCGCCATTCCCGAAGACCTGCCCCCGAACCCGAAGCTGTGGACTCCGTCGCAGCTGTCCACGTATCTGACCACCGCGCTGCGCGTAACGTCACATGTGAAAGCGGGCCAGCCGGGCCCGGTGCCCGTGCCTGTCCGCGTCGCGAAGGACATTGCGGCATTCACGCGATCGAGGATGATCAGTGGGAGGATGTTCCTGCGCCTGACGGAAGGCGATCTCGAGGGGTGCGTTTGATCTTTCTATATAGTTTTCCGTGGCTCATGATGCTGTCAGTATGGGCATGAACAAGAAATGGCGCGAGCTGCTGCTCTCCACGTCCCAGGAGCTCCGCCAGAACGTCCTGAAGGGCCGGATATGGGGCCCTGAGGTCTCGCCCAATCCGTCTCCAGGCTCGACCTCTCCACTGCCGAACATGTTTTCCAACGCATTCTACAACGCCAACTCGTCGACAAGCTCACTCGAACTCTCTGCGGACGAAAGCGCGCAGGCTGCGGCGGAGCGCCCGAAGCGCTCGCGGAGCGGGAGGGTGCGGGGGATGGTGCAGTCATTCGAGCGCAGCGGGAGTTTCAGCTCAGAGGCGAGCTTTGATGAGGACCTTGAGGGCGAGCGCGCGCAGCTTGGGCGGTGGCTGCGTGAGGAGGGTGGGTCCTCCGTCGACGAGCAGCCCTTCAAGAGCCCCAGTCCCACGCGACGCCCGCTCCCCGACCCCTTCGCGTTGCAGAGTGCAACTGCGCCAGGTCCGCCGGCGGCCATTGGCGAAGAGCCGTCCGTGGAGGACCTGCTCGCGGCTGAGACAGCGTCGGCGTGGGGCGCACGTGCGTGGGAGGAGATGGACAGCGTCCCGGGTGTGACGGTCAAGCGAGTGAACGGCGTGCCGCACCCCCTTCCGCCCTTGCCCGGGCTGTCTGACGCAGAGACGCACAGAACAGTCGTGGGGCACGGGCGAGATGCAAGCAGTGGGCGTCGGAAGGAGCGAGACGAGCGGAGGGTTGTCACCGCCATTTTCACACCTTCTGCAGACGAAGGACCTTCGGGAGAAGTTAACCCTGAGCCCGAGGCTGGGGTACAGACGGACGAGCGTGTGGAGGCAGAAGTCGTACCAGATGAAGCGGCAGTGCGTCTCTCGGAGGAGCTTGCGGCAACCCGGGCACTCATGGATGTCTTCCGACAACGTTTGGCAGATGTGGAGGCAAAGGTCGCGGAGTTAGAGCGACTGGAGGTGGAGCGGGAGGAGCGCGAACGCCAGCTTGAAGAAGCAGTCGAGGTGCTGGTCTCACCGGGTGTCGAGGCTGAGCGGAAGGCAGCGCCTGCGGAAGATTCGACTCTACTCGGCCGGACGACTTCCATGCTTCCAGCCGCACTGCAGCACTTGGATCTGACTGGCAGCTTCAGGACAGCAAGCGGGCCTGCGAACGAAAATGATAACGGAGGACCGTCCACCCTATCGGAGCTGCCGTCTTACGTCCTGCTTGTCGGTTTCGGTGTCTGCGCTGTTGTCCTCCGTGTGGTGCTGAGGCGCGTCGCCGGAAGAAACGCTATCGCTGCGCTGAAACCCTAGCAACTCTGACACTCACCGACGTCGTTTGTGTATTTGTATTGCTCTCTTGGACTACATCGTGTTTCTAATCCCTCTGCATCGTCTCATCTGCTTACGACCTCCCATGCCCCACGGGTCCCCATGGACCCAATGACCTCCCTATCGTGCCTAGCAACGTAACACTTGCCGTCGTATGCGGGTCTGCGTTCTCAGCGTGCGTCTCCCAGCCTCATGCCTTGTCCACTGCAGTGCTAAACATGTACTTACCGATCGCGAGCAATACGATCATGTCAATTACAGTGTGGTTTGACAGTTCGCATCACTTCATGCTGAATCCGTGTCGCAGTCGCGTCAAGGAGGACGATCGGATTGGCGGCAGCGAAGCTGTGCCGCCGATGAATGCCTGGGCGATCCTCCGTTTGCAGGTCGACGCTGTCGCTGCGCCGCCATTGCGATGGGGCCCTGGGAGCGTTGCGGTCGTCCAAAGCAGCTGTCAACGACAGTGTTCGATGCGCCGTCTATGTTACGCGATGTGGCGTCGACGATCCGTCAGGAAGCTCTGTGGAATGACTTATTCTGACCATATTCTGACTACTGAATGTCTCAAGACCCGCCTCGCGCCCGCCACTAGTCGCGAGCGCATTGATCGTTCTCTATGAAGGAGATGCCAAGCCTCTGCGGACCCTTGTCGTTACGGCTCTGCTCATATGGGACGGATACAAGAAGGTTATAGCTCGGGTCCGCGGTTCTGTTACCCTCTTTCAGCTTCTTTCTCTGTATCATAGCCTCGGCCCACATTCTATCCTCTATCATGTCGTCCGACAGTGATGTTGCTGCCGAACTAGCTGACGTCGTGTACAATCTTGAGCTTGGGTACGTGATCCACTTGATTCTGAACACTTGCCGCTGACCTATAGTGGTTTCCTTCAGCTACGTACAAAACTACTGTGCGGTTGCGACGACAGGTGAGCGTTGTTAATAGCTGAGAGCACCGCTAGCCTGACGCGGTTGGAATTCAGCACTCATATTCTACGAACATTTATGCACGCTACCCCAAGAGATCGACGTGATTTGGAACCGCAAGAAGACTGGCGCCACATTACTATTCCTACTCAATCGGATCGCTACGGCAGGTCTCGGCCTTGCGATGATACTCACAATGCCTAACTGGGGAACTGCACTCGTGAGTGTATTGCCTTTGATCCGGCATGCGTGAATCTGATACTGTGCCAGGCGTAAGCTCACCGAGAAATGGTGTAAAGACCTCTATTGATGTGATGGAACGAAACAGCTGCAAAACCGTGAACTTGCTGTTGCCGAGCTTTCAGCTCCTGTTGTCCATGATCTGGGCAGGTTCGTCGTCCATGCACAGTGTTGCCGTGTATAATGCCGCTCATCCAGTGCAATAGCATTCTCGGCCCTGCGCGTCTTTGCTGTCAGCGGTCGGAATTGGCGTCTCGCCAGCTTCGTATTTGCCCTGAGTATGGTGCCAGTTGGCACAAACCTCGTAGGCTCCATCCGCGTGACATCTGTTGCGTCTGCTTGACCTCAGTACTATAGGCGAGCGACATCCGGGAGACATACGCCATCATCGAGTGCCGTGGTATGGCCCTGCCTGCGACCTCACTTCTCTCCTATCAGCGAAGACTAGCCTAACGTGCGTGTTCGGTCTATATTCTGTGTGATGACGTCTCGTTATTGACGTGCTCGCGACAGTTGTGCGCGCATTGTTGGATTCTATACCATCCGCAGAAACTAATTGGTATCGTAGTGCTCATCTTGACTCGCGCATGCCTTATAGCAGCGGACGTGTTTGTCCTTGCCGTGACCTGGAGGAACACATACAAGATCAAGAAAGAAGCTAGCGTCATGAACATGAGGACACCCACATAACTCTGCTCTTGAGAGATGGTGCGTATCGCTAGTGTATTCCAATTACCCCTCGCTGAAGCATGCAATGGCAGGGACAATATATTTTACGTGAGCTGTTCCGGCGAATTTTCAGTCACTTAATACCGAACATGCGACGCTTTGCCTGTAGCATGCTGCTGGTCCTGAATGTCTTACACTTGGCCTTAGAGATCACCAACGTACGTATGCACATTCATCACTATCAGCAACTGCTCAGCGACTCTGATTGGTAGGTCTTCTGGGACATCACATACTTTGTTACAGGGTTCGTGTCCTTCTTGGTCATACTACACACCCGCGAACATACTGATCAACCTTTATGCTCTAGATTCTCCTCGATCGTCATCTCGCGCTTCCTTCTCAACCTACGCCAGGTACACATGACCGACGACATGGCTGGCTCGGAACCGTCCTTCATCGCTTCTCGCGCTTCAGGGCTGAGATTCGCCTCCGCGGTCGTAGGCAATCTGGGCGAGCACCTGGAACACGGTCAAACCATGTCCGGCTCAGCAGTGTTCCAGGATACATATGCAGAGACCGAAGACGGTTCGGACTCTGACGATATAGAAACACCTCGCGATCAGTGGGCTCCGGACTCAAAGCCGTATGAAGAGGAAAGACCTTCGTCGCAGGGCGATGAAGGCATCGCTACGTCAGCTTGACCTATTACGACATCCTACACCAGATGGCCCTTGCGTATGTAACATTACTACCGCACACCTTCGTATATCATACACGTATCCCGGCACTAGTGCCGTACAACCATAGGCTGTTTAGCCTGAGTATGCATCCCCCTTAGGTGGCTGCATCCTATTGAGGAATCCGCGGGTACTCGAAGGACGAGTCCGAGATAGATTTTGGCACATGGCCGTTGAGGACGGAGCGTGTCACTCTGTCAGAGTAGTACTCGTTACATGCATCATACTATGGAACCTGTCGTCGGATTCAGAATGCTCATCCTCAAGCCTGACAGGGCCTCTGTGACTATCCATGTTCGCCAAGTGTCAGCCCGGATCCACACTCGCCGTTCAACAAGCGGACAGGCAAGGAAATGCTTAGCAGTACATGTTCGTGATGCGTGCGTGCGCCGCATGGATTAAATCTGATTCCTTCTGCAATGTGGGTACGAGCCTGTATTCCAGGCATGACATGGCCTGTCAGTGGATCAAGATCAAAACCCCTGGTGTAAATGGCACCGTTGGACTACTCACGGTTACTTTATGTTTGGCATTGTCAGAGCGATGGAGGGGAACACGTAACCCCAAGGATGCATGGCCGCCGAGAACAGGTGAGCAGTATTGCAGATGATTCGAGTCTCAGTTGACAACCGTGGAGCAGGAAAAAAAATAGAGGCTTCGACTCGGAGGGTTGGGAACAGCATCAGGCAGTGCAGGGACACTGAAATGGTGGATCAGAGTCCCGAGTATACTTATTCTCTACGCATGGCTGACTTTTAGCCATGAGGCCCACGAGCTTCAGGGCGCCCGCTGTTACTATAGCCACGACACCTACGGGCCACCCGTGATACATGGATGCTACTAAATATCAGACCAAACAGGTAAGTCCTTCGCCTCTTTCTTTTCCTCCACAAGCCTGTCATCAGACGATAAAGTGAACAACCATACGCGGGTCCTCCATATGCCGCTAAACCTCTCGCTTGGCTCGACATAGAAGAAACGGCGCAAGGAGCTGAAACTCTCCAGGATCTTTTTCGCCCAGGGACGGATACAGGCAAGCCGCCTGGCGCTGGTGGCGGCTTTGTGGTTGTCGTTGAGGAAGATATACTTGACCTGATCATACATCGCAGACCAAACAACCGTGTCCAACGTAATGTTGGCCCCGCCCATCTGCACGAGACCGTCGTCTGAGTACGGCAGGAACTGTGGAGATCATTAGCAAAGTGAATGCGGATGGCAATGGAAAACGTATGCATACACTGGCATCACTAACGTCTTCTACCTCGAGATATCTCAAATTTGGCATGAGCCCGCAATTGATCGTGTCCGATATCAAGGACCAAACGGGAGTTCGGACCGATGAAGACGTTCGTTCGCACTTGAAGCTGATCAACTGGTGCCGCACAACTCGAAGAATCTCGTTGAGATCTCGGTTATTCCTATCGTTGAAGGAAAGATGAAGGTGTGTGATTGCGTGGGGGGCATAGATGGCGTCCGCGAAGAGAAAGGAGTGTGTCTGGACATATTTGAGGCGTGGGACGGCATCGTGTGGTATGCTCCAGTTAGGAAGCCAGGAATGATCCTGTATGTGCAGTGACTCTAGACAGGTCTGCTGTTGGAGGAAGTGAACAAAGTCGCTAGGAGAGGTGACCCAGCCATCGAACGACTTGAGTTTGAATGTGCACTGCGCAAGCAGCACAACGGAGTCATAAGCTGCGGGCTCATCGTAATTGGCACAAAGGTTGAGCTTCAGATGTTCAAGCCCTGTGAGCATGAGGAGTATTTCCATCACCAGCGGAGTCACGGGAGTCATGCGCCCATTGTCATGAGCCTCGAATTCGTTGACGAAGGACGCCCGTCTTGAGGACCTCGTGAGAGCCTGGTGCAGACTGCGAACGTGTTTAACCCGCCCCACGTATACTTTGCGATACAAGAGACGTTCGGCTTCGAGTTGGAGGGTGCGGCATACACGACTTGCATCAGCGAGCGTGCGCGGAGAGTCGACGTTCTCAAGAATGTGCGTTATCAGTTCGAGTGGCAGCGACTTCACTGGTGCGTTGCTGCCCTCTGCAGGTTGCTTCGGTCGTGTTCGCCGGACCCGCTTGACGCTGGGCTAGATCATCGGCTCGTCATTTGGGACGGAATGGTTCCAATGTTGACTTACCTGGGCAAGAACCTCCAAAACCGGCTTTGTCTTGCTGGATCGGAGGACTCTCTGCGAAGGGGCCATAGTTATGTATCACGGTTCCTAGAACTCATGACCTCAGCTCAATCAATGCTGCGGTATGAAGCTTGGAAGAATGAACCTGTTCGCCGTGGGCAGTGCGACAAACCTACTGCTGATTCGACGAATGTTACGCTCGTGTGTGTTCTACAGAGCATAAGATGTTGAGGTCGCACCGCGATCTCGATCTCCGCCACCGTGCACGTGACATACCGCCGGGGGTGGTTCGTCCGTTTCCGCCTCTCTCCCTCTTTCCTCAGTCGAAGTTGAACCACGACTGAGGTAAGCCCCCGCACACATACTATACGATACGTTCAGTAGCTAACTACCTAGCAGCGTCTGACCGAACGTCTAGGTAGATTAATCTCAGTCGAAGTTGAACCACGACTGAGCGTCTGACCGAACGTCTAGTCTCTACAGGTTATGAGCCCCGGGCGGTGTTTCTGAATGTTGAGGTCGCGCCGCGATCTCGATCTCCGCCACCGTGCACGTGACATACCGCCGGGGGTGGTTCGTCCGTTTCCGCCTCTCTCCCTCTTTCCTCAGTCGAAGTTGAACCACGACTGAGCGTCTGACCGAACGTCTAGTCTCTACAGGTTATGAGCCCCGGGCGGTGTTTCTGAACTCGCCCGCTTACCTGAGACTTCTTTTTGGCTATTCAGACCCAGGAACAACATCGAGGCACCCATCAAAGTGTGCTTTCCCCGCATATACCCCGCATATAGCCAGCCAATTGATCAATGACGATCACCCCAACCTCGAGTCCCAGAGTCTCGGTACCCAAGACGCCGAGAACTCAAACGGAACTATCTCCGGCGCCCAAAATGGATCTCAAAGCGACCGCCAAGGAGAAAATCGAGCTCCTCCACGTACCGTCGTCCCTGCTCAACGGCGGCGTCATCCTCGACCGAAAGAAGGACAACTGGTACGATTGGAAGACCTACATCGAGAACTCCCTGAAGATCTGCTTCGCTTGGGGCTATCTGTCTGGTGAACAAGTCGCTCCCTCTGTCGACGACGACCCCAGCTCTGTCACCAACTTCCGGCGGAACGAGCAAGTTATCATCGCCTTACTCAGCTCGAAGGCCGCGAGGGAAGAGCAGCGCTTCATTGCCGGATTCATCGACGCACGCGCCTTATGGGTCGCCCTCTGTGCTCGCCACGAGAAACAGCCCGGCGCATATGCCCAGGTTCGTCTCCTCCAAGACTTCCTCGCTTGTCGCTACACAGCCGAGGAGCACTTCTCGGAGACGACCATGCGCCTCCAAGAGTTGGCCGAGCGCATCTTCCACATAGGCATCCCGAACCTCGAGGTCTTCATGACCATAGGCATGCTCAACTCGATGAACGGTTACCTCACGCACCTTCAATCGCAGGTCGGTTCGTCGCTCACGGCATCGGCCACCTCGGGCATTCCGTACACCTCCGTCGACATCGCCGCTCGCCTTGACCTCGAGCAGCGAATCCTCACCGACAGCAAGGCGTCCTCATCAGCCACCGCTCTCGCCGCCTATTCCAAGCCGGGCAAGTCGACCTCATCGCAGAAGACTTGCACCAACGCCAAGTGCCCGCGCCCGAATGGGCATACTGCTCCGGAGTGCTGGGCCCCCGGTGGCGGCATGGAGGGTCGTCGCGAGGAAGTGCTCGCAAACAAAAGGAAGGGCAAGGGTCCTGGTAAGCCTGCCGTCTTTAACGCTCCCGACCGCGACAAGCAAGGTCGCGCGTACATCGTTGACGGCAAGACCGGCCACGCCTATCTCTTGAGTACGGTCCCGCCCTCGGCCACATCGACCTCGGAACCGTCTTCGGCGGATACCACCTCCGAGACTGACTTCGTTGGGCTTGCGACTGACACGTCCCCGGAATGGCTCGCCTCCGTCTCTGTCCCGGCGGACCTCTTTGAGTATGAGTCCCTGGTCTCTGTTGAAGACGAGGAGTCGGTTTCGCTCAACTGGTCTACCCACTCTCGCGCTCCTGCCGACCCTACCGCCTTCTCAGTGGCGCCGGTGCCTACGACGACTCGTCGTCTCTCCACTGAAGGGACTGAGCCTTTCGTGTTCGACTCTGGCGCGTCTACGCACTTGTCTCCTCGCAAGGCCGACTTCCATGACCTCCGCCCTATCTCTCCTCGCGGCATTCGTGGGGTGAGTGGATCGGTTATCTACGCTTGCGGCGTCGGCAAGGTACGCCTGCACATCGGTCGCGGCGCGTCGATCCTTCTCGAGGATGTCCTCTATGTGCCTCAGGCCACTGTTCGGCTCGTCAGCATCTCGTCTCTCTGCGCGTCTGCGGCTCGCTACTCGGTGCTCTTCTCTAGTGCCGGTGTTCGCATTCTCAAACCGGGCGGGGCTGTCATCGCTACCGGTACTTTAACGTCCAAGCGCCTCTACTCTCTCGACGGCGCCTCTCCCTCCACCGAACATGCCTTGTATGCAGGCCGTGTGCCGACGCTCGATGTGTGGCACCGCCGCCTCGGACATGTCATCATCGTACGATTCACGACATGGCACGCTTCGGATCCGCTATAGGTATGCCTATCGTCCTATCTCCACCTGCAAATGTGAACATTGCATTCTTGGTAAACAGACCAGAACTGCAGTTCCTAAGGTGCGAGTGGGGGAGAAAGCAAAGCGGGTTCTTGGCACTGTGTTCGTAGATGTACAAGGGCAGCAGGATGTTCGTTCCGCTCTGGGGAACCTTTATTCAATGATATTCTCGACGACTTCACGTCTCACACCTGGGCCATCCCCGTGCCATCCAAGGTCATCCTCGAGCGATTCAAGGCTTGGGTCCTTGCTCGCGAGGTCGAGACGGGCGAGCGTCTGGGCGTCGTCCAGATTGACAATGGGGAACTTCTGTCGAACGACTTCAAGGCATGGATCGAGGGCCGCGGTTCTCAATGGCGCACAACGGCGCCTCACACGTCCGCTCAGAATGGTCGTATTGAACGTTTCCACCGCACTCTCATGGACCGTGCCCGGGCGATGCGCTTGGCGGCTGCTGCTCCGGCGAACCGTTGGGACGAGTTTCTCGTCACCGCTAATTACCTGTCGGTGCGCACCCCCTCTCGTTCTTTGCCTCCAGGTGTCACACCGTATGAGATGTGGCATAAGAAGAAGCCGGACCTGTCGCATTTGCGGGAGATAGGTTGTCGGGCCTTCGTGCTCATCCAGAATCGGCATAACCCTAAGATTTATGAACGCTCCGTCGAGTGTGTTCTCATCGGCTACGGGCAGCACTCGAAGACCTACCGGCTGTACCACCGCGCGACTCACAAGGTCGTGGAGTCGTTCCATGTTGCATTCATTGAATCACACGAGACGTCTCCGACACTATCCTCCCCGGCCTCACGGCCTGTCGCGCAGGTCGCGCCTTCTATGTCTCCTCAGGCTGTGTCTCCCATTGCTGCGCCTCTCGACGTTCTCGACGATGATCCGCCGCCTCCCTCCTTGTCTGGCACCCATGCGGCCCCGGCCTCTCTTCCTTCCGCTCCGCCTCTGCCAGCTGAGGCGCCTCCTGTGCCGCCGCCTCTCGCTCCTGTGCCGCCGCCTCTCGCTCCTGTGCCACCGCCTCTCGCTCCCGTGCCGCCGCCTCTCGCTCCCGTGCGTCGATCTTCGCGTCTGCCTCTGCTGACCCAGAAGAAGGCTGCCGCGGACGGTGTCCCTTTCATCTCGCGCCTGGACCGCACGCTGGGCCAGATACGCTCCGCGGCGCCTCGCCGGGTTTCCTCCTCGGGCATTCCTGCCCCGGCCTCTCCGGTGTCGCGCGCAGTCGCTGCCCCTCTGGGGCTACTGCATGCTGCTCCCGCGCCCCCTCCCGACTTCGCTGTTGGTGACCCGCCCGTCGACGCCACGCCGGACGTCGAGTCTGTGCTCGCGGCGTTGGCCGGGGACGATGTGTTGCCACTCAACGTTGAATATCCTGGGGACCCGGCCACTTTGGCCGAGGCAGAGGCGTCGCCTTTTCGCGAGGAGTGGCGTGCCGCGTTGCGCGATGAGCTGCAGTCCATCAAGGACCTGGGCGTGTACCGCCTCATTCCTCGAGCTCAGGTGCCGGCCGGGCGTCGCGTCATGAAGGGTAAACCTGTTTTTCGCTTGAAGCGTAATGAGAACGGGGACCCGGTGCGCTTCAAGGCTCGATGGGTCGCGAAGGGTTTTCAACAGGTCTACGGGCAGGACTACAACCGGACCTCCTCACCTACCATGCGCATGGAGTCCTTCCGCGCTCTCCTCCACCTTGCCGCCTCCCTCGATTGGGAAGTAGAGCAGCTTGATGTGAAGACCGCGTTCCTCTATGGGATCCTTCCCGAGGACGAGTACTGCTACATGGAGCAGCCGCACGGCTTCGAGGAGCCGGGCAAGGAGGATTGGGTTTGGGAACTGGTGCGTGGTATTTATGGGACGAAGCAGGGCAGTCGTACGTGGAACGACACGATGAACGCGCATCTGCTGAGCATCTGCTTCACGCGTTTGCCCTGTGAATATTGTGTCTACTACCGCAAGTCGGCAAAGGGCACTGTTCTCACCGGCGTCCATGTCGACGACTTCCTGCTGACAGCTAGCTCGGCTGCGGCTAAGGAGGAGTTTAAGGACGACCTCCGTCGTGTCTGGAAAATCGCGGACTTGGGTGAGGCACATTTCTGCGTCGGCATTCAAATTGACCGCGATCGCGCTCGCCGGTCCGTGGCTATCTCGCAGACTGCCTTGATTGACAAGATCATCAAGCAGTTTCGTCTAGATGGCCCCGACTGCGCGCCGGTCTCTACGCCCATGGAAGCCGGCCTCCGCCTCTCGCGCGCTCAGCATTCTCCGAAGACGCCTGCGGCAAAAGAACGCGCCGCTCGCTTGCCCTATCGCTCTCTCATCGGCTGTCTAATGTACCTCGCCATCGGGACGCGTCCGGACATCGCCCTCGCCATCCAGCATCTCAGCCAATTCCTCGACTGTTACGCCGAGATCCACTGGGAGGCTGCGAAACGCGTTGTGCGTTACCTCAAGGGGACCCGGCACTTCCGTCTGCACCTCGGCGGCGCCGATGTCGCCAATCTGAATGGGTACGCGGATGCGAGTCACGCCAGCTGCATCGACACTCGGCGTTCTACCGGTGGCTATTGCTGGAACCTGGGCTCCGGCATTATCTCTTGGTCGGCGCGCAAGCAACCCACTGTCTCTACGTCCACTACCGAGGCTGAATACATCGCGGCTGCCGAATCGGCGAAGGAAGGGGTATGGCTTCGCTTCTTGCTGGACGGTCTCGGCTTCTCCCAGCCTGCCGCATCGCTCATGCGCGTCGACAGCACGAGCGCGATCACTCTCTCCGCTGACTCTACGTTCCACTCTCGCGTCAAGCACATCGACATCAAATGGCACTATCTGCGCGAGGTGGTGACGGACAAACGAATCGTCATCCAGCATGTCCCCTCCCATCTCAATGTCGCCGACGCCTTCACGAAACCTCTTGAATGGAAGCCGTTCCAGATGCTGCGTGGTCTTATGGGCCTCCGGCCTCCATGCGAGGAGGAGTCTTCACGGTGAGGAGGAGTTCCTCGAGAGGAGGAGTCTTTTCTTCCCTTTCTCTTTCATCTCGCCATGCATATTTTTCGCGTCACCCGCTCTTCATATCCTTACGATCCCACACGCCTTTCACTACGGTCTCTGTTTCACTTCATAGTGTTCCCTCATGGACTCATATCATTTCCTCATGCAATACCTACGATACATGCGACACCTTTTGATACTACATCCCCCTTACGTACCTCACGTACCCCCCGTCGTCTCTCTCGCCATTCGCGCCGAGGAGGAGTGTTGAGGTCGCGCCGCGATCTCGATCTCCGCCACCGTGCACGTGACATACCGCCGGGGGTGGTTCGTCCGTTTCCGCCTCTCTCCCTCTTTCCTCAGTCGAAGTTGAACCACGACTGAGGTAAGCCCCCGCACACATACTATACGATACGTTCAGTAGCTAACTACCTAGCAGCGTCTGACCGAACGTCTAGGTAGATTAATCTCAGTCGAAGTTGAACCACGACTGAGCGTCTGACCGAACGTCTAGTCTCTACATAAGACTGTATAGATGTACAGCGAATGACTTGAGCTTGTGACGTGGACTAGCCTCTGTATTGTACACACCTGAGTGCCATGCATCTGAAGTACAACGTTCACAAGCATCGATGGTCGCAAGCACGCGAACTCGAACAAGGCGCCCGGAACCGGCCATGTGACCTTTCGTCCTCCCGATTCGATGAAATCTCCGCTGAGAGTGGACGCCCCGGGAGTCAGGTATCTCTCTCATAACACAACTTGAAAGACAACGTGTCCCTGGGCCTGAAGGCCTGATGCATGATGATGCTGACGGCCACAGAGCCACGACTGGGAGGTGTCGGAAAGCAGCACCATACCGTGACTGACCTCAACATCCAGGACTCGTACGCTTGCAAAAACGATTGCCGGCGGACCGTGTGGCCAGCACCGGGCGAGAGTCGGAATCTTTCGTCCCGAAAGATTGGAAAAAGAGTTTGAATCTTTTTACCCATATTTGGTATGAATGATTAGTAATATGATTGCAAACATTATGTTCGATCATTGTGTGCACAATATTGGAGACAGATTCCTAAAAAGATTGTAGACATTGTTTTGAATCATTCTGTGTGCAGTATTGAAGACAGATTGGTGTAAAGATTGGAAATGAGTTTTGGTCATAACATCTCTGATCTTTCAATGTAGAAGCTTGCAGAAAGTTCTCAGATGCAGAATGAATATTTTGGGCCAAATTGATTGTGAACAGACATCAAAAGGATTGCAGAGTGATAAGTTACAATCTTGTTTCTCCATAATCACATCATGTAATATTGACAAATGATTGTGACAGGCTTCACAATCCTCCATGTCTAATGTATTCCAAAGGTCTTTCAAAGGAAGTTTTGAGTTCTGTGAATACTGTCTTTTAGGTATGAAAGATTGGAAAGTATGATTGCAATCCTATCACAGCACATGTGTGCAGAAAGATGGTGATAGGATTAGAATGCAATTTTGAAGCTTGTGTCTCTGATTGAAGTGTAACATTGTTCATGATCTCTCCACAAACTCTTCTCCTGAAATATTGGGAACATTGTACTCAAGATTTGGGCATGAAGTATTGGAAATAGATAGCAGTGGCACACCTAGCTGCAGTGTACCCTCTCAATTCCAACAGCTCACATGAAGAGATACATGAAGTATTGTGACCATGGGGGTGACAAATCATGTTTGTGATCTTTCAGGGAACAAAGATAGTGAATGAAAGTGTGCCACTCCTAAAAGATTGCAAACATGTGTGTGCCACTTGTGAAAGATTGCAAACAAATGGGTGCCACTCAGAGCAGATTGTAAAGAAATCAGTACTGATGCCATCTGGGACCAGCCTCTGCATATGTAAACATGGTCAATCACACTGGACTATGACTTGGATAGGCAGACAAGTCAATACAGTGACAGGCTGACTAATATATGTAGTACATGTATATGTATAAAGCACATACACTGGATAGTACAGCCTGAACATTGGGACAATTAGTGGTGTTGCAGGTGATTGTACAGTGTAATTGTACAAGGACATGTAACATGCTTGTACAACTGCCATGCATATGTATTGCTACTGTACAACTACCTGTGCAACTGTACAAGGAGTTGTACAACTACTTGTACATCTACTTGTACATAACAACTTGTACAACTACTTGTACATCTACTTGTACAGGGACTTGTACAACTACCTGTGCAACTGTACAAAGACTTGTACAGCTACTTGTACAAGGGCTGGTACAAGGGCTTGTACAACTACTTGTACAAGTAGTTGTACAACTACTTGTACAGTGACTTGTACAAGGGCTTGTACAAAGGCTTGTACAAAGACTTGTACAAGGGCTTGTACATGGGATTTGTACAAGGACTTGTACAAGGGCTTGTACAAAGGCTTGTACAAAGACTTGTACAAGGGCTTGTACAAAGGCTTGTACAACTACTTGTACAACTACTTGTACAGGGACTTGTACAGGGACTTGTACATCTACTACGTGCAGTCACAGAGCAGTGCGAGCAGAACTCTGAGGCCGGGCAACGTACAGCACGACGCACACAGTGATCGTGAGCACGTAGGGCCAATTCGCTACATGCACAGACAGCCGATGGATGGACAGCATGCGCGCGCAAGTGAGCAAGCAAGTGGGTGACAAGGCAGGTACAGGGCATGACAACGCCCAGCACGACACGGACACGGACAGTGACCATATGCATACAGGGTTAATACCCTGTGTGCAAACATGGCCGTCAGCAGGTGAACATGGCCATAGGCCTTCTTTAAAGGTTTGTGAATGTGCATGGCACATAGTGCATTGCAGGGGTTCGGGTAACCCGCGAGGGTCGCAGGTAGGGGTACTCGCGGGTAGGGGTCCGGGTAGCGATTTCCGTACCCGCATACCCGCCCTGCCGGCGTGCGGGTACTGCCAAAAGAGGCAACCCCGCGAGCGCCCAAACTCGCGGGGCTCCCACAACCTGCCCCTCTCCTTCCACCCGGTCGACTCGCGCACGGCAGCCTCGGGCACAGCAACACTGCGCACACGCGTGCAGCGAGCACCCACGGCAAAGGCCCCGCGCGCGAACGCAGCCGACAAGACACCGCGAGCCCGGACGCAGCGACTAACGGACAGCAGGCGTAAACGACAAGCGGACGGTGGGGAAGGGCCCGGGTGCACGGCTGGCGGGGATGGGCGAGCGCGAGGACGAGGGCGAGAGAGAGCGCGAGGGCCAGCGCCAGGTGAGTCCAGGCACACGCGACTGGGCTCACTAACAGCAAGCACAGGGCGCGGTGACGTGCAGCCCGACGCGCACGACGACCGCGAGCACGCAGGGCCAATGCCCTGCGTGTAGGCACGGCCGACGAACAAGCGGCAGGCGGGCGAGACGGCAGGCGGACGAGCGGGCGCACGGGCAAGCAGACGGGCGATCGCACGGGCAGACGAGCCGACGTATGGAAGAGCAGACAAGCCAACGCATGGACGAGCAGGCGAGCCGACGCATGGACGAGGAGACGAGCGGACGGGTGGGTGACTGGACAGGTGGGAGGGCTCGGCGATGGATGGGTAGGAAAGTGGAAAGACGGGCGGGTGACCGTTGGGCAACGGGTGGGTAATAGCGGACGAGCGGGCGAGGGACCAGGTGAGCGACAGCCCACACACCGACCACCAGCGCGCTGAGCGAATGCCCAGCACACAGGGATGACCGATGAACGCGCGCACAAGCGAGCCGGCAGGGGACGAACGGGCAGGGGACGAGCGGGCGGGCCAGTGAGCAGGCAGACGGGCAGGTGGACGAGCGGACGAGCGGGGAAGGGGTGAGCACGGGGCGCGGCATCGTGCAGCACGACACGCACGACGACTGCGAACGCGCAGGGCGAGTGCCCAGCACGCAAGCACGGCCGACGAACGAATTGTGCGCGGGTGCGTGAAAGACGGAAGACGGCGACGGCATACAGGGCCGAGGCGTGCGCGACACGCCCACCGCGAGCGTGGAGGACGAATGTCCAGCACGCAGACGCGGTCGACGGACGAACGGGCACACACGCACACAGGCAGGCAGCCGGTCCGCCGAGGAGGCACACAACCGGGTGGGCGGGCGTGTACACAACCGGGCGGGCCCACAACTGGGCGGCGACGCACGCACGGCAACCGCGAGCGCGCAGGGCGAATGCCCAGCACGCAAGCGAGACCAACGAACGGGCCGCGCGGGCGAGCCACAAACAGGAGACAGACGGTGACGGTGGGCAGGGCCAGGGCGTGTACAACACACGCCAACTGCGAGCACGTAGGGCCAGCGCCCTGCGTGCAAACGCAGCCGACGAGCGTGCCGCAAGTACGGGTACAACCAGGTGGGTGCGTGGGCGGATGGCGCGTACAGACCGGAAGGGTGCGGACGAAAGCGAGCGGACACTCCCATCTGCAGGTGAGGAAGACAGCGAGGACAGCGGGTATATCAGTGACCCACCCACTCGCCCGCTCGCCTGCACGCCCGCCCTTCCCCGCCTTCTTGCCTACACCCCCGCTCGCCCACCCATCCGCTCGCCCACCCGCTCACAGACCCGCGGACCCGCCGTACCCGCACGTGACCCGTACCCCCCGAGCGGGTCCGGTACCCGGGCGGGTACGGGTACGGGTAAGCCCCCGGACACCCGGGGGTTTACCCCTGCAATCCACTAATGGCACATCAATGACAATTCTTCTGACCATCTTCACGATAAGGCTATAGAGCTCGACTAGTACGACCCAGGCTCCCGACCCGGGCTTTCTCGATCACATCACCAAATATTGTGATGGCACCGGTACCACCAGATGGCTGTTGCGCGAACGCAAGGTCCTGCGCTTTGTCCCATTTGGCTCACCACTCAATAAGGATCCGACCGAGGCGGGCGACTTAAGCTTACTGGGTACTAGCACCGGCGATGTGGCTACACCGTTTGAGCCATCAATTGAGGCCGCAGTACAATCGATATTGACCCGTTAGGCGGAGCTGTCATTGACTGCCATCCCGACGCGAGGCATTCGTGCCGTCCCACTAGCCCGAGTGCGCAAGCCTGAGCACAATAACCGAGCGCAGTCGGAGGAAGAGGGACAGAACAAATGACGGGTAGGAGTGGTGAACGAAGAGACAGGAAAGCAGAGGCGTGAAACCCAAGGTCGGTCGTTTTTAGCATTCCTACTGACGGCTTCTGTTTTCAGTCACCATGCTCAAGCAAATGCATTGACAAGCAACAACTTGCAGTGCCTATTTGTCCGCCAGTCCCGCCAGTCCGTGCCCGCCCTCGCCCTCTTTGCTTGCACGCCCGCCCGCGCGCTCTCCCCGTCTCCTTTGCTCAGCTTACGCGCCCGCCTGCTTTGTTCGCCCACCTGTTGAATGGCCCGCCCGCCCTGCCTCACATTGCAGCCCATTCCCATCCTTCTCCCTGGCTCGCCCTCGCCCTTTCGCTGTCGCCCTCTTGCTTGCCCGCTTATCCTCTCGCGCCTACCTGCTTGCACTCTCGTGCCTACCTGCTTGCACTCTCGTGCCTACCTGCTTGCACTCTCGTGCCCGCCCGCTTACCCTCTTATGCCCACGCGCTGACGCGACCGAAAAGAACACAAAAGCCACACAAAAACCCAACCGTGAGGTCGAGCAGTGGTATGCGAGGCCTCTGCGTCTATGAGATGTATGGGGGACTGTACAGTGGTCTAGGTAAGAAGGAGGAGGACGGACAAGACTCCGAACGACGTGGGAGAGCTTCGAAGATGTCGAAGACTGTTCGAAGACGAGGGCTAAGCCTCAAAGGTAGGAGGGGGGAGTTTCGACAGACGTGTCGAACGAACGGTGACAAGGAAGGCGAGCGACGGCAGGAGAAGAAGTGTAGAGCCTCTCGGGGCAACTACGAGCTGGCGAACGTACTGGCGAACTGACTGACTGACTTCGAACGTACTGACTGACTGGCGAACTTGCTGACTTCGAACGTACTGGCTGACTGACGAACCTCGCCGGTGCGAGGTGAGATTGAGAGGGTAAGGGGGTCTCTGAGATTCGAAGGGAACCAGTCCCAGAGTATATACAGGGAAAAACGGCTATTACCACTACGGAGCTCCGACGGCCCCAAACATCCGGCTATGGCTTCTAACACGTGACAACTGCTCTCGGGCTCGCTAACCAGTGGTCCGAAGGCCGACCGGCTATCACATGACGCCGGAAACCGAGACCACTCGTCGAGGATGTGAGACGACCTGCAAGGACTCACTGGACATCCTGTAGCATCCTATGGTCTCGCAGGAGATCTTCTAACACCGTAGCACGTCTTCTAACATGTTCGAGTGTCTTCTAACACATAGTGTATCTTCGAGTGACCTGCGTGCTCTGGGGTCGTCTAGATAGGTGGGTAGGTGCTCCTATAGCGTCACTGAGGTGCCGGAAGGTCGCGGATAGTCTTCTAAGGTGAGCCAGGGTTGGCTACGAACTTCGAAATCTTCGAACAGTTGTAGTGGATCTTCTAAGAGCTTCGGAGCATCGTAGAGGCCTAGATTGCGTTTTCGGGGCTTAGATAGCCTAGAGGCGTATCAGCGCCCGCCCTCTCGCACCCGCATCGCCAGTCTTTCCTGTATGCCCATCCTCTCGTTAGCTTGCCCTCCCGTTCTCGTTGCTCTTCTCTCGCCCATTCACCCCTACCCTGTCCGCGTGTTCTTGTACGCCCGTGATCGCCCTGTTGCTAGCTCGACCACCCGCCCGCCAACACGTTCTTTCCTGCCTGCATTTGTCCTCTTACCCGACCACTGCCCACCCGGGCCTGCCCTTCCGTCTTCGGCTTCATGCCTGCTCGCCCTCGACTTCTTGGGTCCCCAGCAGTTCTGAGGGTAGAGCCGTTGAGGTCGACTGTACCTCCGACACCGATGAGGGAGGAACTCAGCCCGCTTACACCTCGGGAAGCCTGCAAGGTTGCAACGCCGCAGGAGGTTGTGTCAAAGCCAACGATCCCGAAGGAGGCATCGAAGGCTGCAACACCGAGGGACACTACCAACGTCCAAGGAGGCCTCCCGGAGCCCCCCGAGGTGTCGAAGGTGCTGACTCGGTCAACATGAAAGGCGTCTGCATAAAAGGTGTTAGCTCTGTGTGCCTGCGGTGGACATTTGCGCTGTGCAGCCTGTGCTGCACGTCGCCGTATCCCGTGCATGCCGTCCATCCGTCCTCGCCTATCTCCCAGCTGCTTGCCCTCCCTCGCCATCTGCTCGCTTCCGTCCTCGTTCGCTGTGTACTCGTCCTCGTCTGTCTCCCAGCTGCTTGCATGTCTCTCCCAGCCGCTCGCCTCCCCCGCCACCCGCTCGCTCCCGTCTGCGCCCGCCATCTACTCGTCCTCGCCTGTCTCCTAGCCGCTTGCTGCCCTTCACCGCCGTCTGCTCGCTCGCGCACGCGCCTCACTGTCCGCTCGTTCTCGCCTGTCTTCTAGCTGCTTGCCTGTCTCTCTAGCTGCTCGCCCTCCCTCGCCACCCGCTTGCCCTCCCTTGCCGTCCACTCGCCCTCCCTCACCGTGTGCTCGCCCTCCTCCGCCATCCGCTTGCCCGTCCGTGCCCTGCGGTTTGCTCGTCCTCGCCTGTCTCCCAGCCGCTTGGCTGTCTCTCCCAGCTGCTCGCCCTCCCCCGTCACCCGCTCACTCCCGTCCGCTTGCAGTCATCGCTGCTCGTCGGTATGGCTCTGCGTGTCGGCTGTGTTTGTACGCGGGGCTTTTGCCCTCTGCGCTCGCGGGTGGTGTGTGTTCTGTTGTGCGCTCCTGTATGTCTACTGCCTACTCGCCCTCCCTCAGGCTTGTCCTTCGGCCATTCACACATGGTCCGTTCCTCGGCCATGTTTGCACACAGGGTATTCACCCTGTATGCATATGGTCACTGTCCGTGTCCGTGTCGTGCTGGGCATTGTCATGCCCTGTACCTGCCTTGTCACCCACTTGCTTGCTCACTTGCGCGCACATGCTGTCCATCCATCGGCTGTCTGTGCACGTAGCGAATTGGCCCTACGTGCTCACGATCACTGTGTGCGTCGTGCTGTACGTTGCCCGGCCTCAGAGTTCTGCTCGCACTGCTCTGTGACTGCACGTAGTAGATGTACAAGTCCCTGTACAAGTCCCTGTACAAGTAGTTGTACAAGTAGTTGTACAAGCCTTTGTACAAGCCCTTGTACAAGTCTTTGTACAAGCCTTTGTACAAGCCCTTGTACAAGTCCTTGTACAAATCCCATGTACAAGCCCTTGTACAAGTCTTTGTACAAGCCTTTGTACAAGCCCTTGTACAAGTCACTGTACAAGTAGTTGTACAACTACTTGTACAAGTAGTTGTACAAGCCCTTGTACCAGCCCTTGTACAAGTAGCTGTACAAGTCTTTGTACAGTTGCACAGGTAGTTGTACAAGTCCCTGTACAAGTAGATGTACAAGTAGTTGTACAAGTTGTTATGTACAAGTAGATGTACAAGTAGTTGTACAACTCCTTGTACAGTTGCACAGGTAGTTGTACAGTAGCAATACATATGCATGGCAGTTGTACAAGCATGTTACATGTCCTTGTACAATTACACTGTACAATCACCTGCAACACCACTAATTGTCCCAATGTTCAGGCTGTACTATCCAGTGTATGTGCTTTATACATATACATGTACTACATATATTAGTCAGCCTGTCACTGTATTGACTTGTCTGCCTATCCAAGTCATAGTCCAGTGTGATTGACCATGTTTACATATGCAGAGGCTGGTCCCAGATGGCATCAGTACTGATTTCTTTACAATCTGCTCTGAGTGGCACCCATTTGTTTGCAATCTTTCACAAGTGGCACACACATGTTTGCAATCTTTTAGGAGTGGCACACTTTCATTCACTATCTTTGTTCCCTGAAAGATCACAAACATGATTTGTCACCCCCATGGTCACAATACTTCATGTATCTCTTCATGTGAGCTGTTGGAATTGAGAGGGTACACTGCAGCTAGGTGTGCCACTGCTATCTATTTCCAATACTTCATGCCCAAATCTTGAGTACAATGTTCCCAATATTTCAGGAGAAGAGTTTGTGGAGAGATCATGAACAATGTTACACTTCAATCAGAGACACAAGCTTCAAAATTGCATTCTAATCCTATCACCATCTTTCTGCACACATGTGCTGTGATAGGATTGCAATCATACTTTCCAATCTTTCATACCTAAAAGACAGTATTCACAGAACTCAAAACTTCCTTTGAAAGACCTTTGGAATACATTAGACATGGAGGATTGTGAAGCCTGTCACAATCATTTGTCAATATTACATGATGTGATTATGGAGAAACAAGATTGTAACTTATCACTCTGCAATCCTTTTGATGTCTGTTCACAATCAATTTGGCCCAAAATATTCATTCTGCATCTGAGAACTTTCTGCAAGCTTCTACATTGAAAGATCAGAGATGTTATGACCAAAACTCATTTCCAATCTTTACACCAATCTGTCTTCAATACTGCACACAGAATGATTCAAAACAATGTCTACAATCTTTTTAGGAATCTGTCTCCAATATTGTGCACACAATGATCGAACATAATGTTTGCAATCATATTACTAATCATTCATACCAAATATGGGTAAAAAGATTCGAACTCTTTTTCCAATCTTTCGGGACGAAAGATTCCGACTCTCGCCCGGTGCAGGGCTTCATGCAAGTTTCAACGCATCGCTACAGGTGTACTCACGCTATCATAGACACAAGGCAGTGGTTGATCATTAGATACCCGAGTAAGACAGTTGCGCCTTTCGATGGCTGACAGGCCGCAGCCGCGTACTGTTACGTGATCCTTGAGTGTCTGCTTGAATGCTCTGTCATTGCTCATGCTGGTTGATGAAACAGGCTTGCGAAGAAGGACGAGGTTGCGGTTCTGACGTTCGAGATCGCGACGACGACACGGATGGGCCGGTACGTCCGGATTACGCACGACGTCCGGATCGTGGTCCTGAACTTCAAGACGTGGGCTGGCTCAAGGAGCCGATGTGCCCTGAGCCTGAGGTCCATCACTACGCCTGCATTCCCCATTGGTGTCGGTGAGATGAATATTTGATATCTGAAGGTCCATATAATCCTCCCGCCCCTTGCGAAGCTGCGCGCCGTCGTGGAGCGTATGCGCCCGCTCGCGGCGGACGTGATCGGCATCCGGGCTAACTTGTCGGGGTGCTTGCAGCTGTGCGCCCAGACCGACAACTCGCGCGTAGATGTGGCATGGAACGGGCTGTCTAATCCCAGAATGGGTAAGTCGTTTTCCGGAATTTCTTGTCTTACTGGGATACGAAGGGCGTGTCGTCCGTCGTTTGTTTGAGCGCAAGATCCGAGCACGCAGGATCCGGATACCTCGGACGCACGCGGCCCAACGACGCTGTACGGCGTTCTCGTGTCTCTCAGAAGCCTCCAGAACTTCCTGAGCAGTCACGTCGTGTCGACGACGACCATTGCGTGTGAGTCGTGCTTGTCGGAATGTCCTAGCGCCACCATTGCTCACGCACCATGTGTCCGTAGGCATATGCCAGAACCACTGCATCATACTGTACGTGTACATCGACGAGATGGCGGGGGCAGATGGCATCCTGACATTCTACATCCCGGCTATTATCGAGTGACCCCGCCACCTCCGCGCGTTTCTTTTCCTCCGTGTTTCGGATCTTGAGTGATCATCCACTGTCTGTTTTTGTTGTTGGTGCTCGCCCCGTCGTGATATCCGCCTGCTGTATCTATAGCTTCCTCTCACTGCTGTGGGCGTGCTCGGGCGCCCGTTGTACTGGCCTCATCCGTTGTCGCATCTCATCGACTGTCTAGGACTCGGCACGGGTTGCCAGTATACTTGACTGTGCCAAGTACTGCATCGCTCTGCTCCGGATTCGCAGACTGCCTCGTTCGCACGCGCCTGATTCGTTTGACCCTAGGCTACATGACAGTCTCGAGCTCGTCATCTATAATAAGATGGAATAACCTGACATGAGACGCGTGAGCTCAAGACGAGGACGACTGTATTGAGGGCCGGGCATATCGCTCAAAGATACATCGCAGCATACGGTTCGGTCCGCGTTTCCTACTAGTCTGTCTGCTTGGTGCAGAGTCGGTATAATACTATCTGGAATGCCTCAACTATTCGCCGATGATCAATCCACAAAGTATGCTGGCTTTCAGTCATGACGAACTTCAGGGCGAATACATGCTGTTCCTATAGCTACAACGCCCACGGGCCACCCGTGATACATGCATGCTTTCAGATATCCGACCAAACAGGTAAGTCCCTCGCCTCTTTCTTTTCCTCCACAAGCCTGTCATCAGACGATAACGTGAACAACCACACGTAGGTCGACCATATGCCGCTATCCCCCTCGCTTGGCTCCACATAGAAGAAACGGCGCAAGGAGCTGTAACTCTCCAGGATCTTCTGCACCCAGGGACGGATACAGGCCAGCCGACTGTCGCTGGTGGCAGCGTTGTAGTTGACGCCGACGATGCCGGGGAACATGTAGTCGAACTGATCATGCAACGCAGACCAGACAACCGTGTGCAATGTAATCCTGCCCATCTGCACGCGACGGACGTCTGAGTACGGCAGGAACTGTGGAGAGCATTAGCAAAGTGAATGCGGACGGCAATGGAAAACAGATGCATACACTGACATCACTAATGTCTTCTACCTCGAGATATCTCAATTTTGGCATGAGCCCGCAATCGAGCGTGCCCGATATCAAGGACCAAACGGGAGTTCGGACCATTGAAGACGCTCGTTCGCACTTGAAGCTGATCAACTGGTGCCGCACAACTCGAAGAATCTCGTTGAGATCTGGGTTTTCCCCCTCATTAAAGGAAAGATGAAGGTGTGTGATTGCGTGAGGGGCACAGATGGTGTGCACGAAGAAAAAGTGGTATGTCTGCACATATTTGAGGCGTGGGAGGGCATCGTGTGGTATCTTCCAGTTACAAAGCCAAGAATCCTGTGTGTGCAGGTTGAGCTTCAGATGCTCAAGCCTTGTGAGCATGAGGAGTATCTCCATCACCAGGAGAATCACGGGAGTCATGCGCCCATTGTCATGAGCCTCGAATTCGTTGACGAAGGACGCCCGTCTTGAGGACCTCGTGAGAGCCCGGTGCAGACTGCGAACGTGTGGAACCCGCCCCACGTATACTTTGCGATACAAGAGACGCTCGGCTTCGAGTTGGAGGGTGCGGCATACACGACTTGCATTAGCGAGCGTGCGCGGAGAGTCGACGTCCTCAAGAATGTGTGTTATTAGTTCGAGTGGCAGCGACTTCACTGGTGCGTTGCTGCCCTCTGCAGGTTGCTTCGGTCGTGTTCGCCGGACCCGCTTGACGCTGGGCTAGATCATCGGCTCGTCATTTGGGACGGAATGGTTCCAATGTTGACTTACCTGGGCAAGAACCTCCAAAATCGGCTTCGTCCTGCTAGATCGGGGGACTCTCTGCGAAGGGGCCATGGTTATGTATCACGGTTCCTAGGGCCCATGACTTCAGCTCATCCAATGCTGCGGTATGAAGCTTGCGAGAACGAACCCGTTCGCCGTGGGCAGTGCGACGGAACTACTATACTGCTGACTCCGGATACAGTATGGTTCGACGAATGTTACGCTTATGTGTGTTCTACAGAGCATGAGACTGTGTAGACAGCGAATCCCATGAGCTTGTGACGTGGACCACTATACCGTACACACCTGAGTGCTATGCATCTGAGACAAGTTAAGTACAACGTTCACAAGGATGGTCGCAAACACGTGCACGCGAACGATCTCGAACAAATTAATGAACGAAAGCGCGTCGGGCGCCCGGAACCGGCCAAGCATGTGACCTTTCGAACTCCCGATTCGACGAATCTCAGACTGACAGCGTAGTCAGGTATATCTTTCCTGACACAAAGACAGCGTGTCTTGATGTTGTGACGGCCACAGAGCCACGACTTGGAGGTGCCAGAAAGCAGCACTACCATACTGACCTCAACATCCAGGACTCGTACGCTCCCAAAAACGATCGGCGCCGGCGGACGTGGCCAGGGCTTCATGCAAATTTGAAGACATCGCTACAAGTGTACTTATGCTATCATAGACACAAAGCAGTGGTTGATCGTCTCTTTACATACACATGTGAGAATTGCGTATGTACATACTTCTGGTCTGGTTCAATTAAGTGGACTGCGAAGCGACGTAATGACTTCAGACTGCCCTACACACCAATGCGCTACGCGCCCCCGACCCACCCACGATACATCTATTCAGTTATCAGTCCAGACAGGTACATCCCTCACGTCTTTCATCTCCTCCACGAGCCTGTTGTCCGACGACAGCGTGAACAGCGTCGCGCAGAGCACATTGGTCGGCGTTCGATCGACATGGAAGAAACGCTCCACAGCGCTGTTCTTTTTCAGGAATTCCGTGGCCCAAAGACGGAGATAGGCCCGCCGGCCGCGTACAGTGTGGGGAGCATTGTCGAAGTCTTCGCGGCAGTACATTGAAGACCAAACAAATGTTTCCAACGCGATGGCCGACCCACGCAGACGCCAACGACCGTCCATGAATGGCCGGAACTGCGCAGAGGGTCAGTGAAGAGAACAATGGCTTGAAAAACGAATGCGTACGCTGGAATCACTAGATCGATGGTCCATCACCTCGAGATACTTAAGGTGGGGCATGGGCCCGCAACCGAGTACGTGCGATATGACAGACCAGAATGGTCTTCGAAGTCGCCTTTCACCATGCCGTGTGCACTTGACACTGACCAGCCGGTGCCGCACAGCTCGAAAGGTCTCAGCGAACGTCTGGCCGCTCAACTCGCACATGGAGAGATCGAGGTGTGTGATCGCGTGAGGGCCTCGTATGTGCTGCACGAATAACCTTTGAGATGTCTGCACGTATTTGAGGTGTGGGAGGGCTTCTTGTGATATCTCCCAGTCAAATGAGTCGTGCCTGTGTAGGCTGAGTGATTCTAGACCAGTCTGCTGTCGGAGGAATTGGACGAAGTCGCTATCCTTGACTGTCCAGCTTTCGAGTGACCTGAGTCTAAATGTGCACTTTGCGAGTGTACGCAGCACGATCTTGTAAATGCCATAGTCATATCGTTTGATTTCCAGGTGCGCGAGGTTCGTGAGCAAAGGGAGTATGTCGTTCACCAGCGGAAACACTGGACTGAGGCCTCTAGTCATTTCAACCCGTAATGCATTTACGAAGAATGCCCGTCTGGATGACTTGGTGAGAGCCTGATGCAAACTGCGAACGTGCCGAATGCGTTCCATATGGACTTCTCGGTACAATAGACGCTCGGCCTCGAATTGAACAGCACGGCAGGCACGACTCGCGGCAGCGAGCGTGCGCGGAGAGTCGAGGTTCTCGAGAATGAGGGATATCAGTTCGAGTGGCAGTGACTTGACTTGCTCTTCGCAGGTTGCTTCGGTCGTGCATGCCTGGTTCGCTTGACACTTGGTTAGATGATAGCCTCGTCAGTTGGAGTTGTGCCAGCGAGTAGCCACTGAGTTGACTTGCCTTGGAAAGCGCCTCAGAAGTCGGCTGTGTCTTTCGGGGTCGGAGGTCCCTCTGCGAAGAAGACATGCTTCTGTATTGCTGTTCCAAACCCGTACAACATCATGCGTTGTTAGCTCGTACAATCCTGTACAATCCTGTACGATGCTAATTGGGATAGCCATACCAGAATATGCGAAGGGACTCGCGGTACCCAATGCGGTAGCCCTGCAGAGTGTGACGGTTACGCTGTGTTCTCGGTTCTCGTGAGCCTGGTTCGAAATCAACTGTAGCGCAGTCCACATACCTGAATCTGCTCTCAGGAAAGGCCCTTTTTGGTGGAACGTTGTACCGTTGTTCGCAGTACTGGGCCTGGCAGTCGACGTCTCCGGGTTACCCGCTGGCGATTCGAGCTCAGGAATGGTCCTGAGATGAGCGCGACTGCCCAAATGGTGGCGCGACGCAGTTCGGATGCAGCCACAAAGCCACCGTTGGCCACATGGCACATGGCCCAGTGTCTTTGTCAGCAGACAGTGAATAGTGCGGCCATGAGGCGGGGACGCGGTCGTATCGTCCATAGCTTCTGGATCTCTGCTTCGTCCTGGGAGAGCCTGAGTCGTTCATTTTGTCTTGATGTTTATGTATATCCACCGATTCATGTTGGAGCATCGCATCCACGTTTTTCATCATTCCGTACAGGTTGTACCAACACTACTCGCTCAACTTGATCTCCTCCAGGATGTATCATACTGTACTTACGTCGCGCCTCTAGTGATGTATAATAGTGTCCGCTGGGTGTCTAACTGCGCGTAAAGCCTCAAGATCTCAAGATCTCAGGCCTCAGGCTCTCAAGCTGCGGAGCGCTGGGCCCTGTCGTTGCTGCTCCTCCCCATCCACCTTCGGGGGATACTAGAGGGGATTGGGAATGTGACTCTGCACTTAGATTTGTAATATTTCCTCTCTACTCCATGAAGGCAGATCTGGAGGGGCCTGCTATAGGGAGCGATGTTTGGGTGATGCGACGCAGAGCTCCGAACTCAGTACTCGTACTCACCGGCGAAGACCATATACCGTGATCGGGAGCGGGATGGACTCAGAGGCCTCCGAGTCAGGCCTCGAGTGTGACAGTGTTATCGTCCGGCGAGTCCATGAATCCGCTTCGCACAACGTCGCTACGTAGGTTTCAGTTGACGTACATAAACACTCGTGCGCTCCGACTGACAAGACAACAACCCCATCAATATCCGCGCTATGACCGACTCTGAGATTACTGGGACAGTCGACTTCACGGCTAACGGGGAGACCTACCAGACCTGGTACCGCCTCCTAGGCGACCTCAACTCTGGCAAACGCCCCCTTGTTACGCTGCACGGTGGACCCGGCTTCGGACACGAAGCCATGCTCCCGCACTATGAGCTGCACAGAGCCCGCGGCATCCCCGTCATATGCTACGACCAGCTTGGCATCGGGAAGAGCACGCACCTCCGCGAGAAGCCGAAGGAGTTCTGGAGCGTCGAGCTGTTCGTCGACGAGCTGGCGAACCTCGTCGAGAAGCTCGGCATCGCGGAGAACTTCGACTTGTGCGGCCATTCGTGGGGCGGGATGCTCGCCCTGTCGTATGTGCTCGCGAAGCAGCCCAAGGGACTGAAGCGGATGGTCCTGGTGGGAACGCCGTCGTCTATGGAGCTATGGCAGAAGGGGACGAGGGAGCTGCTCGAGGGCTTGCCGAAGGATACACGGGAGACACTGAAGAAGCACGAGAGGGAGGGCACGACGGACAGTGAGGAGTACAAGGCGGGGATGGAGGTCTACTTTCGCAAGCACATGTTGAAAGTCGTCCCGGTGGATCCCCCAGTTGGCACAAGGTGCACTCCGCGCGAAAGAGGAAGACCCTACGGTGTATTCGATCATGTGAGTGACACTTAGACTGAATTACCATCGTATATTACTGACTGTGATCAGGAACGGCCCTTCCGACTTCTACATCACTGGGACCATCAAGAGCTGGTCGGTGCTCGACGACCTGCACAAGATCTCCCAGGAGACGCTGGTGATCAACGGCGCCGACGACGAGGCGAGGGATTTCGTCGTCGGTCCTCTCTTCTGGCGGATCCCGAAAGCGAAGTGGGTGCAGTTCGCGAATAGTTCTCACCTAGCGTTCTTCGAGGAGCCAGTGCGGTACTTCGAGGTTGTTGGGCAATTCTTGACTACACCGTATGTTGATGGGGACGCAGTCAGTACCAACCTTCGTAGGGCACGGATAGGAACAGTGCATAACAGGAATGATAGACCAATCCTATGGACCTGGATCGAAGAGCCATTGGGAACTCAAGCTAGTGTTCGTTGTCAGCTCGGCATTCGGTACGAGGATACCTTTTTGAGAAAAACGACAATCAGCTAAGACATAATGAGAGTTCGTATTCCTGCGTACTCCTCGACGCACAAAGGTATGTCGATTGTGGATGTACGATGGCAACCCGTCAACGACCTAAACCTGAACAAGGTGTAGTGCCGCCGCAATCACGCCCGTTGCGTCAGTAGTAGGGGAAAGCGACTCACCAGATGACTACCTATATATGTGCTACCTCCCATCTCGCGGTAGGCCTGCTTCATTTGCAACCGCCAGATTCGCTGCACTCACATCTTCCTCCGTTGTACCTGACAACCTACGACGACTGAGTATGGTAGCAGCATTGATGTTCGCGCGGATCGGAGCACATGATACGCACTAGACGGACCTCATAGCTACG